ACCTGAGGAGAAATGAGATGAAGTTTTTCCTATGGATGAAGCACAAAACACTTACAGATTTTATTTTCTAAATTCTGGAAATTTATTGCTTCGTTTGAACGTTTGACCTTTTGAAGGGATGTTTTTTTTTTGTTGGAATTCTTGTGGTTCATAATTTGACTTCAGTCCACAAATTTATTTGGATTTTGGAGTTTTTTTGCTTGAGTCATGGTGGTTAAAGCTTTACTATATGTGTTATGAAAAATATACAGGTCAGAGCGGGTTTACCCACCCCGTCCGGGGAAAATACGGAGCAGAATATGGCGACCCGTCCCGGGACACAAGGCAGGGCGGATCACTGGGTTATGAGCCGGGATAGAGCACGGATTCCCTACTATCCGCCCCGATCTCGCCCTGTTGTCATCCCTACCTCTATTTTCCCCTTAGTTAACCTATATATGAAGATCATATTATTACACCACTTGTGTCATATTAGGCCTGGGCTCCATCGACTTGTAGAAGCCTAAGATTGTCAAACCAGTTTATACCGTTGTGTCGGTTTGGCAAGTGAAATGATACGACTAGTGGCACAATCGGTTTGTATCGATTCATGTAGATTTTACAAAATATGTAAAAAATGTGAAAATCATTAACATCCAATGAATTTAATCATATATAGAATACATTTGATGAAAATTTACTTACAATCCAACAAACAACATAAATTTTTTACTTTTAAATTCATGAACTAATAATAAACTAATTTATTAAATTCACTAAACGACGTCATTTGGCTTAGAATTCTTAAATCGATCATGTCGGTCATACCGGTGGTGTTCATGTCGATTTTATGACCGGCACCGAGTGAACCGCCATGACAATCTATGTCCCATTATAGTTCTTCTACCTCACTTTCATGTACGCAATCCACATGCTCCTGCTTGTTTCACTTTCGTTTCATGGACCGCTATTGAATGGGATAAGGGTGGAGTCAAATGATCAAGTCACTTTATGCTAGAACATGCGTAATCAAAAAGATCAACTATAACGCCATTGATTTTGATGGTGTCACTCAGCTCCAAGAATTTCCTCAAGTGTGTATTGGGATCTTCGTCGAGTATGCCATTAAATTTCACCCAATTTTGAATCATTTCTAGCATCTCAGCTTTGATTTCGAAGTTGCTGGCTTCGATGTAAAGCCTTCATATGATTGAGTGAGTTTCGTCCAAGGTAGGACGAACATAATCAGACATCGTTCGATTGTTGACTTTGACTTGTTCACCCGAAATAGTTTGTCACTTTGTTTGTTGCTCTCGTCTTGAATGATGAAAGTTTCTCTCGCTCTCGGGATCAAGGTTAACAAGTCAAGCACAAAAACAAGAACAATTCATGAAAGCAACATATGTGGTAAACAAATAACAAGAATAAATAAATAAAGCGACTAAATAAATAAATAGTTCGAAACCACTTTTAATATTTTAGTCCTCGAAAACAAAGCTAAAAACTTGATCGCCAGTAGCTAACTAACATAGGAAAATAGGAAAGAGTACTTGTCATTCTAAGGTAGTAAACAATATCGTATCCACATAAACTATGTGTACTAATACTCAACTTTTACCTATTATCTAGTTAAGCATTTTTAGTTGATCTTCAGATATAATCTTTCACACATACAGTAATAATAACACAGCTAAACAATCTTTCACAACAATAATTTTTAGGGACCTCGCTTGAAATTATTATTGTTATTTATACAATTGACATAATTTGACTAGCCACAGGCTAATAACCAAACAAACACAAGACTTGGATGTCATCAAGAACCACAAACATTAAACCATCATCCACTAGCGACATGATTATACTCGATTGTTTATATATCTTTCTCCGTAGTTAACCCGTTATTGGGGCCTGTTTGGTTGTGGGGTAGTGTACCCCTAATTGGGGTGGGCAATGGGTTGGTCCATATCAGCCACACCAGACCAAATTGATGCTTGGACCGGATCACATCAAATAGAATATAATAGGGTATGGTCAATGGTCCCATGAATTTTATAGATACCAAAGAAAGATGAACCAAATTGACATTTGGATTGGACCAAACAAACCAAATGCACTATTGGTCTAGTTTTTTATTCTAAGAAATATTTTACTAATGAACCGCGATTCTTCTGAGTTTGGTCTGATCTGATCGAACCAGACCGATGCCCACCCCTACCCCTAACCAAAGGTTGCCTATTCAATCTTGGTACTCTCTCTTTTCCCCAATGTTATTAAAGTCGAGCCGAGCCGCTCGGTCCGACCGGTAAAACCGCCACCTGGTCACAAAACCGGCTCAAAACAGTCTAAAAGTCGCTCCGGTTTTATGTAGCGGTTGGCGAGCGGCCGAGGCGGTTGAGCGTTCGAGCTTATCGAGCCGCTCGTCCGGTTTTGGCCATTCAGCCACTAAATTTAATTAAAAAATTGCAGAAAATTGAAAATTGAAATAAACCAAAAACGTCGGGCTCTCACACTGAATCCTTATTTCCATTTCACAATTTCGAAGGAAAGAGATGAGCTCTGATTAAGAAATGTCCACTATTTATAGTGATAACATTTATTAGGTACCGGTTCTCTAACGGTTTTTAAATGATCTAATGTCGGTTGGACCACTAAAGTGCGAGCCGTTCTCATTACCGGGTCATGCTCCAGTTTGGTTCTGACAACATTGCTTTTCCCCTTACCCTTAGTTAACTTAAGCCTATATATGAAGATCTGGAAATAGGATCATGCAGGCCAACAATTGGACACCACCTCCGGAAGGTGTCTTCAAATTAAACTCTTATGCTGGGATTTTTCAGCAATCTGGAACTGGATTGGGATGTATTATACGGGATGGGAAGGGGGAGTTCAGGGGAGCAACTACGATGAATGAGAAGGGAGTATGCATACCTATAGAGGCCGAAGCAAGGGCTATCTGGATAGAGTTGAGGGAAGCGAATGAAAGAGGGCTAAGTCCCCTTTGTCGTTGAATCGGACTGCCAGGTTTTGATCGGGAAGTTGGGGAAGATGGAGGGGGATCGGACTGAACTGTGTGGGTGGTGCGAGGAGATCTGGAGCTTAGCTTAAACTAACGCCTCTATCTCGGGAGACAAGAGACGTGGCAATTCTCTCCCCGATCGAGTAATTCCGTGGCGCACTGGCTTGCCCACTCAGTTGGACTGTGGAATCGCCAGTTGGTTTGGGTTGATGAACCACCCTTATCTTTGCTTACGTTGATTGAAGCTGATATGGGCCATGTTAGGCCAGTCCCAATGTAACTTCGTTTGGAATTGAATGAATGCAGGTTTTCATAAAAAAGGGTAAATACAATTTAATATCCAAACCTTTCATTTTAAACAATATAATAGTCAAACCTTTTCGGAAACAATATAATATCCAAATCGTCAACTTTTCGTTCGTTTGACCGTTAGTTGACACTTCAAAAAAGCTTTGTTTAGGGGAAATTGTCACAATACAACTTTGTTTCTTGTTTTGGCATTGCAGATGACTGAATATTTAGATATTCTATACCATCATGGTGGAGTCATGGACTTCTCGGGTTTGGAACTACGATATGTTGGTGGTTTTTCAAAGAAGATATCGATGGATATTGATGAAGTGTCGTACTTCGAACTTTTTTGAAGTGTCAACTAAAGGTCAAATAGACAGAAAGTTGACGATTTGGATATTAGATTGTTTTCGAAAAGATTTGGTTATTATATTGTTTAAAATAAAAGGTTTGGATATTAAATTGTATTTACTCTGAAAAAAATCCTTTTATACCACTCAGGCCCGGCCCAGGCCCTGTGCTGGCCTGACCCACAGCACAGGGCCTCAAGAATATTGGGGCCTCATTAGCCCAACCCAGCCCAATTCATACAACAATATATTTATATAATAAAAATAAATTGAAATTTGGAAAAAGAAAGAAGAAAAGCCATTGTCTCCACTCTTCCTACTCTCACAGGCCACAACGGCCTCTCAACTCCCCTTTCCCAAAATCAAATTGCAGACACCACAATTAATTCCACAATTCCCCAAAACGAATTAGCTTTCAACTAATTAACTCCTAAAAAGTTATTACTTTCCCAAACCTTCATCTAGTGACTAATCAATGTTGAACAATCAAGTAATCAACAATCCAACCTTCAATTCTCCTAATCAACGTTCACTAATCAGCTCAATCCCCTCCTTAATAGTCGGCCAAAAAATGAAAGGAGAAGGAGCCGAAATCAAACCCAAGTCTCCCATCTTTTGATTCCAATTCTCCCCTGATTGATTCCCTCCAAATCTCCATTCTCAAACCGACAGAAGCTGAGAAGCAGCACGACAACACTGCCTATCGACGCGCGTCGCCCCTGTTTCAAACTTTCTTCACCCTCAAATCTCAATTCCTAGTCCGTGCCGCCGCCGCCGTGTGCGGCTCTCCTTCTTCGCTCTATGTTGTCTCCGATCCGCCGCTTTGTAAGTTCCCCTTTCATCTCTCTCCATTCAGCTATTCAATCGTCTCTGTATATTTTACTTTTTTGTTACTTTTAAGTCGAAAGAGGAGAAGGCGGATGGAGGATTGGAGGCCGAAGTATTATTTGGGCGTTAATGGCCACATCTCATTTGAAGAGTGAAGTCGGCTGGCCTGTTTAGTTTATAACCTTTTTTTTTCAGGAAACTTTTGATTAAAATTTTGATTGGTTTAACATTATTTTTTGAACAATATGAGGGAATTGTTACTTTTTAAAAAATTATAGATAATTTATTATTTTTTGAACTTATGTATTCTTTTAGTATTATTTAATATTTTTAACAAATTTATGGAAAATAATTTTAGGGCCACATTTCAAAGTTTCGAACAGGGCCTCCGAAAGTAATGGGCCGGCCCTGATACCACTAGTGTCATTTTGGGCCTGGGCTCCATCGACTTGTCTACCACGAGTCTCCATGGACTTGATTTCGGTTTCCCCATCTCCCGCCAGGCATCCTATACTCTTGAGTAAAATTTCCCGCGGCTTCGAATTCTTCGACGATCACTATTTAAGTATTTATACTATTTCTTCACGCCCGCCGCTTCAAGTCTTCTCACAGAAGGAGAGGCACCCAGCCTTAACCTAATCTTTGCTCTCAGTCCAATCCCTTTCGATTTACTGCAAGTGCAGACCTTCACAGACGGTTCAACACTCCCTCCGAGAGTTCCCTCCCACCGAGGAGTTAGATTTTTCGAAATGCAGGACACGGCAAGCCCTGATCTGGAGACGTTCCTCGGCATCCGCTTTCTTATCAGTGGCGTCGATCCTTCCGATCAGGTTTTGGCTTCGGTTTCAATTCCATTCAGTTCGTTAATCATTTCCTTCTTATTGCCTTGTCGCGATTTCAATTTTCTTTTGATCTGCGGTTGGGGTTTTTCAGTTTGTTGTTCGATTGTGCAGGTTCGATCCAAGCTTTTGAGTCGCGGCGGAGTTGAGGCTCAGGATTTTACTCATCTAATAGTGGACAATAATACTATATATGTAGGTGATGTTGAATCATGGATTTGGGGTTCTTCTACCGGGTTTCAATTGTTGTAGTGGTAGTAGTTCTTGAATCGTTCTTTCTTTTTCCGATTTATGATTTCCCTGTCTTCGGGTGTGTTTGTAGGATGATCCGGCCTGTGTTTCTGCAAGAAATAATGGGAAGACAGTGGTCACGAAGTTATGGGTCGATCATAGTTCTCATTTTGGATGGGTTGTCGATTCAACTAAAGTGGGTGCTCTTTTCTCCGCTATCTGCTTTTCTTATGCTTCAAAACTGAATCTATGGCCTGGCTTGGATGTAACGATGGATGCACTGGCCATTTGTGCTGTTGTGTTTTCACCCTTGGATTCCTTCACTTTATCTGAGCTGAGATTCTATGGCTTTTTCCCCCTTCCTTTTAACGTACAGGTGATTTATCAACCCCCAAAAGGTTTGAATGGGATACCAGGTGCTAAGCATCTCATAATTAGCTCAACTGGGTACAGTATCAAAGAACGAGAGAATATTATGGTATACCATAGCTCAATTATTTTCTCTACGCCTAATATTATAGATCGTTTCCATGTCTGATGTTGGAGTTGTCTTTGTAGACTATGGTTCGCCTCATGGGTTCGCAGTTTTCCAAGATCTTGGTGTCCCACGAAACCACTCATCTCATATGTTATAAAAATAAAGGTGAGCCTTTCTTAGCTAAGGGCATTGTTTGCACTGCGGCTAACTTCTCCTCTGACTTCCCTTATCCGGTTTTAGCTATGGAATGTTAAATCTTCCAGATTGGCTATTGTTGTCCTGCGAACCTGCATGATGTCCTTGCACTGTTTTTCAATATGGCATTTTGTAGTTTTATAGCTCTGCCTTTGGTACCTTTCGAACCATTGTGTGTATAATGGCAGCTGGACTATTTTTTAGGTCCAAAGTACGATGTTGCATGTAGGTACCAGATAAAGATTGTCAATCCTCGCTGGTTGGAAGATTGGTTAGTTCTTTTCAAATACTGTTATGTCTATGGTCGCATTGGGCATTTTTGGCCCAGAACCATGGTCCCTCTGCCTTTCTGCGTATTAAGCTAGTTTCTCTTTTGCAGCTTGAGGACCTGGAAGCTCCTCCCAGAAGATGAATATAATAAGAGGTAATGTGAATGATTTACCCCATTCCCCTTCATTCCTTATAGCACATCTCTTGTTCAGTGGCTTGGAAAATAGCCTTAATAAAGAGAAACTTTATATTTATGCTTCCTTTCCACTTTTTATTCGCCAGTGGCTATGAGATGGAATTGATGGAAGCTGAAGTCAGGGATTCAGAAGATGATGTGTCTGATGGTACCTCTCTCAAGCTGCGTAGCAGCTGCATTGTAAACCAAAGCCCGCAGATTACGAGAAATGCATCTTCAAAGACCAGCAACTTGTCGGAATCAATTTCTGAAGTACCTGCACTGCCGGTAGGGCCTGATGGTTTCTTGAATGTCCACAATGAGACATTAACCACTCCGGTCACTAAGAGAAAGGTGGATACAACATCTCATTTAACAGATCCCTCTGGTAGAACTCCAGGTTCTGCAGAGGCGGCTGATAAGGTAGACGCTGTCTATATGAGTTTTAAAAAACCTTCAGATTCTAATATGAAGTCGAGCGTTGCTCCAGTAGATGGGGAAAGAGAACTTATAGTTGATCAAAGGATCGATCTCAAGGGTACGTCTGGGTTTACTGATGATGAGAACGGGCATCCTGATGAAGCATTTGATCAAAGTGATGTACTTGTGAAAGAGAGGATGGATACGGTCGGTTTGGCAGCTATAGAAAAGGAATTCCAAGAAGTTCAACTAATGGAGAAAAATTCCATTGCCTCTGAAGTGGATCATGCGGTGGAGGATCCACAAAAGAGAGATAAATCAATCTCAGAACAAGATGGCGATACAAAGACAAGTGAAACTCAATGGCTACCTTCAAGTAAGAGCAAGAGAAAGGCAGTTGACAGTGTTAATGATAATTCCTTCAACTCTACCAAAGTGACGGGGAAAGAAGAGCAGCATGCTGCAGAAGGCATACTCGAGAGAGAGCCACCTGCAAGTTGTCGTCCAAGTGTCAACAAGATATCTAGGAAAAGGACACACGGCGCTATGGAAGCGGTCAAGGAGAATAAAGCTGTCGTTGAATCACATAGTACTGGAAGCAATGCTGGAAAGCATGTTGAAATGTGTATGACGACAGCCAATGGTGGTGATCAGATAGCTCCAGAAGGCAAACCTGCTTCTGCAGGTGGAGAAATCTCCAGCCATGCTGAGAGACAACCAATGTGCTTCATGTCGAGTGGGCAGAGTAGGCCGCAGAGGAAGGAGCTTAAGAATGCTATAAAAGATATGAAGGGGCAATCTTTCCTGAACTCTCGCCAATGGTCAAACCAGGTAACTCATTTAGTTGTTGCCGATCCTCTCCGCAGAACAGAAAAGGTCTTCGCTGCTGCTGCCTCTGGGAGGTGCGAGATTTCTCTTTCGCCTAACTAACTTGGATGATTATTCAGCGCCAGTTATTTCAAGAATATATTCCTTGAATTTGTAGTTCAACTTTAATTTGAGTTAGCGGTCCAGTCCGATCCGACAAAAGAGTGATGTTACTTGCAGGTGGATTCTCAGTACAGACTATCTGTTGGCATGCTGTAAGGAAGGAAGGTTTCTTCCCGAGGAGCCTTATGAATGGCACAAGAAAGGGGTTAATAAAGACGGCTCTATAAATTTAGAATCCCCCAGGAAATGGCGATTGCTAAGAGAGAAGACAGGGCACGGTGCATTTCATGGTATGAGGATTGTCATTTATGGAGTATGCATCGACCCCCCTTTGGTAAGTTTAAAACATCTATCTCTTTGCAGGCAGTCATTTCTCACTCAGCACGCTGTTTGATTTTATCACCCATTCCTTTCACGCGTTTACTATTTCAGCATAGTGTTTGTTAAATATCCTCCCTCCTGTTGAATTGAACAGGACACACTGAGGCGAGCAGTGGAGGCAGGCGACGGGGAGATACTGGCAACCGCCCCACCTTACACCCGTATCCTCAACTCGCGGAGGGTCGACTATGCCATCATCTCCCGTGAAACCCCATTTGAAGACGTATGTGTACAAGAGTTTGGAAGGCTCGAGATACCCTGTGTCACAGCTGATTACCTGGTGGACTATGTGTTCAGAGCTGGCTCCACGCTGGACAAGCATGTTCTCTTCGACAACCAGGAATGGGCAGCCAAGTCTTTCAGCAACCTGGCGAGGAAGGCAGAGGAGATCGTCAACCCTGCAGCAGCTTCTTCGCCCAAGCGGAAGAAGGAGACGTCCAGCTGATTTCAATCAAGGGAAACTTGGGTTGATTTGTTTCCCTATGTTAAAAACACTTTTGTTTACTTAACTAGGAGGGTTGACAAGAGTTTTCCCTATGTTAAAACACTTTTGTTTAAGTTCTCTATATTTTTTTTTTGTTTTTATCAGAAGTCTTGAAAGTTCGGGGGATCATGAGAGATTTTTAGCAACCGATTAAGAAAATGGTTAACTTTTGGTAGAAAATGGTTAATAATAAGTTACTTTTTGCAAGTGGATGTGAAGTTGGAAGAAAATGGTTAAATTTAAAGGAGGATTATAGGAACCATTTCTATATCTAGTCAATGTAAGGATAAATTCGCAAAAAATAATTATGACATCTGAGGTAGACAGTGACAGATCTAGAAATTTTTAACAAGGGTGTCCTCTTAAATAAAATAAAATAAAATAAATAATTCATAAATAAGAAAATATCGAACTAGTACAAATTTTAACATAAGGCCACGACGTGTTTTTATATTCTGAAAAAGAATAACAAATAGGCTTGGTAAATTGCTCAACAAATCTGTATCTCCTACTAGACAATAGAACAACAAATGAGTTACACTTAATGGAGGACAATGTTTAAAAAATATAGTAATATCCTAAGTTTGAATAACACAGACTATTGCTTATTTTTTTTAAGTATACGCAAACTACTACTGAGGATAAGATTATCGTTGTAGGGGTGTCCTGAATCACTAATTATAATTTTTTTAACCATACAAAACTATTACCGGAGGTTGAATAATCGTATTCCCAAATTTTAGGGGTGTCCCGCCCTCATGTATCCGCCCCTGGAGGTAGAAGTATGATGAGATATCATTCTTATCACTCGTCGTCCACAACCCAATAAGTGCTACCTTGATTAATTTGAGGTCATTTGAGTATTTTAGACTGGTAATGTTTTTGTTAGTCTTTAGGAGTTATTACAGGAAAAGTGGCGACAGGTTAGCATGTAATGGTTAGCTAGACGTGGGAGTTCGTCCATATAGATAAGATTCTCTTATTTGCAACGTTATGTATTTAAGTGGTGATTGAAAGGAATAAGAGGTAGACAATTTCAAAATTAAGAAGCCTTGGTCATTCTCCCCAAGAAAGGAGAAGTCTGGCGGACTCCCGCCAAGAAAAGGGAGATCTCCAAACCTGACACGTATCAAAGTAGGCGGCAATCCACTTTAGGACAAATCGGCAAGTATGGTGGTAGATGTATATTTTTCGAAACCCGAACTCATAATAAAGTATAATTATTTCTTAAAATATCGACATTCGTGAACATATATAACATCTTAACGAATTCTTACTCTTTTTTATTATTTCTCTTAAGATTGATGGTTGATAATTATAAATTTTTACTTGTAGAATCCCGGTACCATGTCATGTGATCCCAACTTCAGAATTCTGACTTCATGAGTGAACACATTCTCTTGCAATTCCCAACTGAATTGCATGCACATCAAATTTCTTAACAACGTAGTTCCATCAACAACTTTACTCTCAGTGGAGATGCTGGAATCAGTAAACATTTAAATTCCTTGGCTTTCTCTTCATGCAGGAATGTGAGTGCTTCCTGTATCAATTAGTATATAAATATGTTTTTTTCATCTTCCCCTTAATTACTAAAGAGTTAGTAAGACCTCCACTACTCAAGACCTACATCATCACTTCTTTAGTGGGTTCATCCTCTGATTCCTTGTTCTTTTGGCCTTGTTGATGTATTGCTCTTGGTAATAGGTTATTACTTGTGATAGTGATAGATAGAGAACTAATAGTATACATGAGGTATAGAAGCAATGCAGTCAAAATTGGGATTTTGATCTTTTTTTGTATGATTTTAGGATTTTACTTAGAAATTCTGATCTTGATTTTATTATAAAATCAGTGAACTTAAAATTGAGATTAAAATCATATCAAAATCTAGATTTTGATCGTATGAGAAAAAAATAGGTGGTTTGAGCCAATTTAAAAGAAGCAGAACTATTTCGGTAGAAAGGGAAATGACGGGGATCTTCTCAAATAATTTTTCTATTAAAAAAATAATCAAATTAGGGCTCTGTCAATCCCTTTCCCTTCGTCATGTTTAACACATCGGTAAAACAGTTGTCCTAATATTATAAGTACGTAAGAATTAACATCATTATTAACTAATTAATTTATTAATGAATATATTTGTACCAAACCACTAGCATTAATTATTTTATCGGAGTTCAATTATTCTTAGTTTTAAATCATGCTTAGTAGACGATGTCAGAATATTACTTTGAGTTAAACTATCTAGACACAACATGAAAATAAGAGGCAAACCCCATAAGATGCATTACTAACTGCACACAACATAGCATCCTAATCTTTATGATTCAATAGACTGCAGTTCAAGCAAGATGTAACCCCATGTGTGAAAGAGCACTGCAGAAACATATGATCTCGAGTCTCTGCTACCTTGCTGCATAAAGGACGCAATGCATCAGTGATTTTCCCCCACTTAAGCAGCTTATCCCTTGTAAAAATTGTATTTTTATCAAAATCAAAGCAATCAAACTATATCTTGGGGGGCAAAGCTTGCACCATACAAGTTTATGCCATGAGACATCAGGTGATTTAATCATCAACGTTTCCCAAACTCTTCTATCTGAGTAAGTCACAATCAAAGCAGATCCCCAATGTGTATCGTTACCTTGTTGTCGCAGCTAGGGTTGAACAAGGGACCGTAGTTTAGCAGCCTTCTCTATGTCCACGAACTACCGTATTGCACCTTCATCGACCATAAATCCCTCTATCTTCATTTGTATTCAAGCAACCATGCTACCCATATCATCCCTGAATTCATCAAGAAAAGCCAGAGCATTCGGATAGTACAAGCTTGATTCCAAGGCTGCAAATCCTTTACCCCCAAACCACCCTCCTTTTTTGGAAGAGCCAATGAGTCCCATGCTACCTTAGCCTTACCCTCGTTATTGGCATGCCATAGGAACCGTGAACACACCTTCTGCACCCGCTTCAGAAATTGTTTAGGAAGCACAAATAACTGCATCCAGTATTGAATGATTCCAACAGTACTGAGTTAAGGATCTGTAACCGCCCTACATAAGTCAGCTTCTTAGCCCTCCAAGATTTCATTCTCTTAGTGATATTATCAACTAAAACATCAATCTCCTTCAACAAAAATTTCCCAGTTATCAACGGCAAACCTAAGTATCTTACTAATAAGAAACCTTCTTGGAATCCAGACAGGAGCAAGACATTGTTCTTATACTTAACTGATTCCCCTCCAAAATAAATTTCACACTTAGAGGGATTACTTCTAAGGCCAGAAAGCTGATCAAAACGTTGCAAAACTGCCTTTACTTGAAGAATAGCTTGCTCCTATCATAAACAAATAGGACCACTAACCAACTCTGGAGCTAACAATATATTATCCATAATACTCCTCCCCTTTATGAAAGTCAATTGAGTGTTACTGATTACCAGAGGTAAGTCTTCCCTAATTGTGTTTGCAAGAATTTTTTTCACTATCTTGTATAAAAGATTCACACAAGATATATGTTGAAAATTCTTTAAAGTGTCTGTATTTGGTGTTTTTGGAATCAGGGAGACTATTGTTGAATTCAATCCAATGGGAAGCGTACCTGAATTGAAGAAGCAAAGCACCCCTCTGGTAACATCAGCTCCAATAATATGTCAGGTTCTTTTATAAAAGCCTGCTATCCACATTTGGTGTACCCAGAAACTTCTTATAGTAATCAACCATTTCTTCCAATACAAGTTCTGATTGAAGCAATTCCTCACCTGACTCTTTGACCAGTTTCCTTATAGCTCTCTTTGAATTCCTAATTTTTATAGCCTGGTGAAAGAAAGCAGAACTCTTATCCCCCCCCCCCCTGTAACCATGATATTCTAGACTTTTGCCAACAAAAGATCTCATATGCAAATGATAATAGATCAAATTGCTGATTTGCCATCTTAACTGCCTCAAAATGTGGAGCAAAAGGATTTGAGAAAGAACTAATTTGGGCTTCATAAGCTCATCTTCTACTGCTTTCACTTGGTCTTCAAGCTCCCCATAAATCTCTTTATTAAACTTCTTCAAAGCCTTCTTAACTTCCTTTAACTTGCCCTGACGATTGCAATGGTTTCCCAGGAACTTCCACCTTCCAGGCTTCCACAACTACTCCTAGAAAAAGCGGATGTGATGACTCGATTTTCACATGTTTCCCCCTGTATTTCTAGATCGTTTAAGCTTTCACTATAGCTTCTTTGGCATATCTAACGCTCCTCTGTCACATTTGAGGTCCTAGCACATAGAGTGAAGCATAGGCGCAAGTTTCAAGTCAATCAGAGATCAATTGACAACTCGGGGGGGGGGGGGGAACTCTGGCATGACATGAAGAAGAATAGATTTATACCTCATTTTGTGACCAGATAATCATTTAAGTTTGTCATGAGAAAAAATAGGACGAGATTACGAGCGTCTAGGATCAAACGACATCTGATTTGGAGTCCGGACGAGGGAGAAACGAAGAATCAAAGATAGGAGACCCATAACTGTAAAAACCCTGTCAGTAGGTCAAAATACCCGACAGAGTATTTTGAGAATATGATAGGGTATTTTGATCAGAACTAAGAAGGTCGTGAACCAAAAATACCCGACTGGATATTTTCCCTTTTGTGTAGAAAAGTGACCCGAAGCATTTTGTTGATACCCGGCCAGTTCTCTAAAGACCCGACCAGGTATTTGGACAGGGTTTTGCGAACTCTGGCTGTCAAAAGCCTGTTTTGTGCGTTTTTTGGAGGGGGGGGGAGTTGGGTTTTGGATCCCAAACACCAAAGGGACGAATCAAAGAGAGAGAGAGAGAGAGAGAGAGAGAGAGAGAGAGAGAGAGAGAGAGAGAGAGAGGGCGATTTGAGGTTAATCTTGGAGTGGAATTGGAGGATTTCTTAGCCTTGGAAGCTCGAGGAACAAGCCCAGACTTGAAGACTGATCATCTGGAGATTCTTACTGCAGTCTCTCTCTTCTCTATGGAGTAGCTTCCCTTCACTTAGGTTTTGAGGAACCCTAGCCATGTTTGTTTTATTGGATGATTGTATGAGTACTCATATTTGATAATCTTGAATTCTTATTCAATCTATGCATATTTTCATTATTTAATTTCTCTTTAGTCGAGATTATTGATTCTGCTTTGATCCCATGAGAGCGAATAC